CCAGGCTGCACCCTGGACCCCACACCCAGGCTGCACCCTGGACCCCACACCCAGGCTGCACCCTGGACCCCACACCCAGGCTGCACCCTGGACCCCGCACCCAGGCTGCACACTGGACCCCGCACCCAGGCTGCACACTGGACCCCGCACCCAGGCTGCACCATGGACCCCGCACCCAGGCTGCACACTGGACCCCGCACCCAGGCTGCACACTGGACCCCCCAGGCTGCCACTGGACCCCACCCAGGCTGCACCATGGACCCCGCACCCAGGCTGCACACTGGACCCCACACCCAGGCTGCACACTGGACCCCGCACCCAGGCTGCACCATGGACCCCACACCCAGGCTGCACCATTCTCGTTCCCCTCACCTTCAGTCCCTGAGACCCACACTAGTCCCCGTGCTCTGCCCAAAGGCCAGATTCTCTGTGAAGCCTCGTCTAAGCCCTGCCCTGCCCTCCCCGATGTGCCATCCACTGCCCCAAAGAGCTGCTGTCTAAGCAGCCCTGGCACCGTGGCGGGGGGTCCAGGAGGGCAGGGCCACTGACTTCCAGAGTGATATCGCCTTAGGAAGGTGCGATGCATTGCCCAAGACAGAATCTGCACAGGGTGGACCAGACCGTGAAGCACCGATGCCTGCCTGGGGTCGAAGGTTCAGGCTGGCTGGATTGTAAGTATGTGTTACAGAGGAATTCACTTCGCTTCGCCATTATGCTTTTCAAAATAAACACGTTTTGTCTGCTCTACCAGAGGCCAGAAGCCTGGGCAGCCCTTGCTCCAGCAGAGGCCTGTGGCTAACGCAGAACACCGCGGGCTGTGGGGTCCAGGCCTCGGCAGAGTCCAGTTCTGAGCCGGGATTCAAGAGAGGCTCAGAAGAGAGGAGGGAGCCTCTCCCTCCATGTGGACACGCTACGTATGAGGCACGAAACACAGAGCAGCGCAGCAGACACCACCCTGCTCTGACACTCACCTGCTTCGCAAAGATGCTGAACAGGCAGAAGCAGGAGGACGTCACAGAAAGTCACCGTACTCTGAATACAGAGGCGCTGCTACTGAAATGACACAGGGCGCCTCCCCAACAGGCTGAAAAACAACGGCAGCTGAATGCCGTGTCTTAGAGGCTGTCAGGTGGAGGATACTGAGGTCAAAGGGGAACCTGCTCAGGACAGGAGCCCTCATGAGCCTCACTCCACCACGCAGGGCTGAGTGCCAGAAACACACCCTCCATGGTGCCCGAGAGGGAATGCTTGAAGAAACAGCCTGAACTCAGCCTGAAGGAAACTCGGCCAAGCACGGAGGGGATTCCTGGCAATAAACCGATAAACCACAGGCAGCCCCACAGGTCACCAGGCAGGGATCTCTGCAGACTGGGAGCCAGCAAAAGCAAACACTGTTTCTAAAGGATGATTAATTACCTTTTCTGTGAAAGGAGCAATACAAAAATTGATCAGAAATATACTATTTAAGAAGAAACTACCAAGGAAATGAAGAATAAAAAGGATTTTTCTGTTCTGCCAGTTCGACTACATAACTGAGCCACGGAGATTAGAAGTAGCTACCAGTCATTTCTACGTACTTTGTGGTAGAGTAAGTGCCTCCTTGAGCAAAACCCACTTATTTTTAATATTCACTAATACCCTGTGCTCATACCCAAGGTCATAAATTAGCAGAACTCCCAGGAAAGCATTGCCTAGGATAAAGAAGAGACGCTGAGTGATGAAAAGCAGCTGCACTTCTCACTCGGCATCAATACCACGTGACGTTTGATGGGGACTAATGTGGGATTAACTACACCCCTATTCATTAGGTTTTGTATCATTTTGTATAAAATTAGCAAAATGAATGCCCTTTGAATTCTACCGCCAGGGTGATCTCCCTGCATTAATAACAGTAGAAGATGTCTGCAGCCTCCAGTCCTCAGGCCCTTGAGGGAACCAGACACAAGCAGCCACTGGGCTTCTAGGCAGCACCCAGCACTCCCAAGTTATTTCAACAGCGGGCTCTTGAGTTCCGTATGTTGGTGACAAACACAGGCACCACCACACATCCTTCCAAAGGTGTCCGCCCATCACCGTAGGGCATTTGTGATGACGCTATTAGGATTCCACATCACCTTTTAAAACTAGAAACCACAAGAAACTCCTTTTGAGTTTGAAACTCTTCCCTGCTATCACGTCAGCCTGTCTGTGTCTCACCTGAAACTTGGTAAGAGGTTCCTCTTCACCGGGCTAAGCCCTTTCCCAAGGCCGACGGGCCAGTCACCATGCTAAGCGCTCTCCTGAGGCTGATGGGCCAGTCACCGTGCTAAGCGCTCTCCTGAGGCCAATGGGCCAGTCACTGTGCTAAGCGCTCTCCTGAGGCTGATGGGCCAGTCACCGTGCTAAGCGCTCTCCTGAGGCCAATGGGCCAGTCACCGTACTAAGCGCTCTCCTGAGGCCGATGGGCCAGTCACTGTGCTAAGCGCTCTCCTGAGGCCAAATGGGCCAGCACCACACGTGGGCATGTCCACTGCCTAACTGCAAGATCTTTGTGGTCACAAAATTCATTTTTATAATCTCTTGGTTTTTTTGTTTTTTGTTTGTTTTTGAGACAGGGTCTCCCTCTGTGGCCCAGGCTGGAGTCCAGTGCTGCAATCTTGGCTCACTGCAACCTCTGCCTCTTGGGTTCAAGCGATTCTCCCACCTCAGCCTCCCAAGTAGCTGAGATTACAGGTTTGCGCCACCACATCCAGCTAATTTTTTTGTATTTTTAGTAGAGATGGGGTCTCACCATATTGGTCAGGCTGGTCTCGAACTCCCTACCTCAAGTGATCCGCCCACCTTGGCCTCCTAAAGTGCTGGGTTTACAGGCGTGAGCCACTGCGCCCAGTCAATCTGTCTTATATAGCATCAGGCACATTCATGACACCATAGAATTATTCAAAAATAGTTAAAAAACTAATTCTTTAAAAATTTTGCATGAATGTAAACAATTTTGCATACGTTCAACAAGCAAGAAACATTCCGACTTGCACAGCCACAGGAGTTAACATGGACTAGCAAATTCAATGTTTAGAAAGTTGTCGATATGAGACACAAACTCAAACGTACATTTCCTGTGTGACTCCCCCTTGGCGCAGCACTTCGATAAATAACATGAACACATTTGAAATGACTGAGAAACTACCTTTCAAATAATCAACCTCATTTTCTCTAGAGAGCCATAAAATAAATCAAAGGTCCTTGTCTGTGAGTACATTGTTACGGTTTTTAAAAAGATAACAAGATTGCCATTCCTAGCATCCTTGAGGTCCAGCAAACCTAATTTCAGTGGCGTTGCTCCCCGGTACTGGAGAAACTGCCAATCATGGAATAATTATCAATGCATTTTTGCATAATACCTGATCACGGATTTGGTCTTAAATATCTCCAGTAATCACTTCTGACGGGGAACTGGAGCAAGCAAAACAGATGCCGTGGAGGGAGGGAGCTCCGGCAGCCACGAGGCGCTGAAGCCGTTGCTGGGAGCCCCGTTCCTTCTTGCGCGGGAGTGTTTGGCATGGATCCCGCTGACTTTCTGCGCCGGGACCGCACTGGACCGCCCAGCTGGAGTAAGCTCTGCACCCCAGCTCCTCAAGCCTCACAGCAAAGTATGGCAACAAAATGAGACTGGGGGTTCAACTCTCCACGAACCTTAAATCAGACTGCAGAAGTTTAGTACAGCTTTGCAAAGCATTGTATTTCAACCACAAATTCTCTGCCCCCTAAATCACCACCTTGAGCAAAGGAGTTACTGAGGGCACGAGGAGGTCCCATAAACAAATCCATAGCAGCCAAAACAGATAGGACCAGCGACATGCTCTATCCCGTAGAACATGGCGGCTACTTCCCGCCTTGATTACTCTCATGGGAAAAAGAAACTTCAAGTTTACAGGGCGCCAGTGCAGTGATGCCTCAATCAATGAGAACTAAGTATCGAAATCCCGAAACAAACCAGAGTATTTTGCTGCATTTTACACTGGGAAAAAAAGACATAAATTTAAGAAAAAAAAAAAAAAAAAGTAAGTTCATAGATTTAGCAATCTAAAGGACTGGCTAAAAGCAAGAGTCATTTCCTGCTGTGGCTGGGTCCGTGCGTTCAGCCCCGTCTTATCAATGATTACAGAACGGGAGTGCCCTGGGCGCGGAGCGGTCCTAATGCACTGAAAGCTGCCAGGCTGAGGTTCTGTTACGCTTCCTGTGTTTTTCTTACTAGGCAGGAAGATTAAACAATACACGCTACAAGAGTTTTCAACAAGCTAAAAAAAAAAAAAAAAAAAAAAAGCCAGGTTGACGAAAATACAACATTGTGTCCACCACCCCATTCTGTTCTTCAAGACTCTGGTGAGTAAAGTGTTGTGTTTTTCACTTAATGACAACTATTAATCATATAACAAAGATCACTCAAGCTCTATCTGTAAGTACATCTCAAAAATGTGTGATTCGCAGTGCCCAGAACCCTGGGCTGTGAACAGTGAAACTGTCTGGAAGTCAGCTGGTTTTTATTGAAACCTCCCAGATCCTTCGTGGCACCTGCCCACCACAGTGAGGAGCAGGGCCAGTGTGTGCTCCTGGTCTGGTACAAAGTGAAAAGCCTCAAAGCAAAATTGCACATGCTCTGCACACACTGGGGTTACTACAAACACGAAATCCTCCTTTTCCAAAAGCCGGACTTGTTCTCGGTCACTTGCAGCCCTGTGTGTCCTGCCTTCTATCTGAGACAGTTCCACGCATCAGGGCGGCCCATCCCTCCCCAAACAGCGAAATCCCAGACGGTGCCCACGGACAGCCACATTGCCCTGCGACTGCCCCCTCGTCCCCGTCACTACACACCAGCTTTCCACGGAAACTGTGACCTTCCTTTGGGTTGCTCCCTGTGGGTACTGAGTCTCTCTCTGCCCTGGCTGTGCATGTACGTTTGCGTGCATGTGTGTGTGCGCACGTGTGTGTGCGTGTACACGTGTGTGTGGAAAGCGCCTCACCTGTGGCCTTCTCCACATCCGCAGTGGTCACGTTCTGGACATTGGCGCCCACTTTGAAGGTCACTGCTGGTCCGAGAACCCTGGAAGGGATAATTTAAAATAAGTTCTTAACGAAGTCAACGTGCCACACTGCTTTTCTGAAAACGACATGGAAAACACTGGTGCGTTTTTAAAAACACAAATATCCGAGGCCACTGCGGCTCCAGGCACGAACTCCACCAGACATAGGTTTTCTTTCACACCATGACCTTTGTTTCCGTTTGCCAAGAATTCTGTTTTTGGGCTTCGCTTCTCCAAAACACACATCACAGTGTAATATGCTATCCTAAAAAATTCAAATCAGCCTCCAAACCCAACAGTAGCAAGCAGACATTCTAGCTAGGGAAAAAGAAAAGTTGTTATTGAAACAGATTTTAGTCTTTGGTGCCCAAGGGAGATGTATGAATCAAGAGCAGAGAGGAAAGAGACTAGTATTTTTAAAATTCTTTTGACAGGAACCATTTAAAAAACTACCAAAGTCATTAAGAACTACTCTGTATAAAAACAACTGGCAGGGAATTGCTAGACAGGAATTATCAAAATTGTCTGAAGCTTCCTAAATGCTATGTCAACCATAATTTTGAAACAATACATTACTTTTTAAACCATCTAATACATCTGAAGACCCCACATGCAGTAGGAACTGGTTATTGTGCCTACAGCCATCGCAAAATGAATTAGGAATCCAGCGTCCGTTCCCAAAGACAGATGGACCGACTCCATGTCCACAGACGACAGCCATAGACAGCTCTTCCCGGAACGGACCCCTTAAATGTCTTCTAAGGAGTAAATCCCCAGAACAGACAGGAAATGCGAAGAGGACCCAATTGAGGTGGGAGACGGCAGCTAAGACTGTTGCCTCCTGGTCCCTGGGAGGTGCCTGCACTCCCATCTAAGCCGTTAAACTGTGGGTACCATATGGCCCACGGTCCCTTCTGTCCCCACTGCAGCCACACACCCTTGCTGATGGGTACAAGCCCAGCTGGTCAGAAGTGCCACAGGTTGGCCCGCCTCCCCTCCCTCCCCTGCACCCGCCTCCCCTCCCTCCCTCCACCACAGGCTCATCCCAAGGTAGCATATGACACCCAGGCCATGGACGTTGCACCCAAAATCCTTTCAACCTCACAGGTATTTGTGATTCAAATATCTGCACTCATGATACCTTAGTCCCAACCTCTGGTCTTCCTCCCTGGGATTTTTGCTCATTCTCCCGGCCAGGGGCAGCTCCCCCGTGTGCAGGCCCTCGGTGGAGGGGAGAGGGGACTGCTGCGCCATCGCGAGGCAGCACAGTTACCATCCTAACACCACGGCCATGGCTGAACATTCCACGTGGAAGTCTCAGCATCACTTTGAACTCAGCGAGGTCTGCCTTGAATCAGCGCCTGCTCTGAGGAGCAAACAGCGTTCTAACCTTACGGATATTCCCTTCGGCTTCCTTATGCCAGAAATATCCAGCTAGTCACCAAATTCTGCGGAAACCCTTGGAAAATGCACCACATCCACCACTGTCTCTTGGTTCCCACTGTGATCCTTCTAGCCCAAGCCTGTGCCCTGTCACAGCAGAGCGGAGTGACTTCCTGCGTCCAGCTCTACTGCACGCAAAATGTCCTTGGAAGTCGCCTCCAGGGCTGACCACAGAGGAGGAGCTGGTATCTTCTCGAGCCCAGGTTAAAGTCTCAGCCGCAGGCCCCAGGCCTGTCTATGGTGCCTCGGCTGGGCCCTCTGCTGGTCCCCACTATGGGCCCCCAGATAGGAGGAGGCCACTCCCTCCCTGGACTGCAGCTCTCCTGCCAACGACGTCCTGCTCGCTCATGAGTGCCGAGTTCTGCCCCCTCTCAAAGCCCTACTCCCGAGTGAGGACTGTGAGAGTGGCCGATTCTCCCTGTCTCCAAAATCTTCCACAAGGGCCCTGAGTGCCTGACACTTGTGCTCAAATGGCACATCAGATGTTTATAGATGTTTCCTTCTTTCCGAGCAGAGGATGGGCTCTTTGAGGCATGATTCCTGCCAGGGCGTCACCCACGCAGGAGACGATCGATTCATATTTGTGACCGGTTCGACATTTCGGTTGAATGGTTTTCTAAAATTAAGAGAAAGTCCTCATTAACACAAGCAGCTCTCACGTACCCCCGAAACAGCGCTGAGGACAGACAGCTCAGCCACAGGGCTTCCAGCTTACACACAGCTTCTGTGAAACTGAGTCTCGACCACAAACAACACTGAGGACAGAGAGCTCAGCCACAGGGCTTCCAGCTTACACACAGCTTCTGTGAAACTGTGAGTCTTGACCACATCTGGATTCCCTGACAGATGGGATTGGAATTTCCTAAACCTAATTTTTCCCTCAGGTGCTGAAAGTTTCCTCTAAAGGGTATGAGGAAGAGGTTCTTGGTTTCTCAGAGTCCAAAAACCCAGCCGCTTATGCTATGAAGAAGCATGTGACCGACACATGGCCCCATATTTCCCGGTGGGGGCTGCAGGAGAGAGCCACATAGCCCGCGTCCTTCCTCACATGCAAGCCGAGCGTCACCATCGCGTGGGGCCGCGGTGGTCGCCAGGGAGTGCTCCTGACACCCTCGGGGCATATCTCGCAGGCAGTGAGCACCCAGTGACCTTCGCTGTCAGCACCAGCGAGACCAGGCGCCTGCGGCCACGATGCACTGACCCTGGCTCTGGTCCTTGTGCTCTCAGGAACCCTGCGGGAGGACGGGGCATGAGGAGCCATCTCCAGAGGAGACTCAGAGGGTCGGTAGCATGACCCCACCTGCATAACCTTCCCTAACTGGAATACATGCAAGCTCCTCCCTAAAACCCACAGCGGCTGCTCCGACGTGGGAAGACGTGTCTATCCCGAGGCCCCGCTGCAGGTCGAACTCCGTGAGTCACTGTGCTGTGGCCCTCCTGGGCCTTTCCGCTGGGCCTCAGTTTACTCAGCTGTCAAGTGCGGCAAGACCCACAGGTCCTCTTGGACTTGCTCTGCCTAGAAGACTCTAGTTTTCAATAAACTCTGGTGCCCAGGCCCAGCGGGTCTGCAGTAAACAGGGGCGACACTGGGCGCTCCAGAGCTAAGCTGCTGGCTCTGCCCCCAGCACCATCAGCAGCAGAGATTCCTCCCAGCAGGAAGAACTTGCCCTAGCGTTTGTTACCACCCCCCCCACCCACGTCTGCTGTGCAGGTGGCAGATGGCTGAGTGCTGTGTGGTCCAGGTGAGAGGCTTCTGGGGAGGGAGTAAGGTCAGCCTTCCCACCAACTTCTTTCTAACCAGGGAGCCTTGGTCGTCTCTGCTATCTTGTTTAGCTTTCTGTCTCTTTAGACATTTGGGGAAAATTGAGTAAATCCCATGTGCATATTGCTGGCCTAAAAAGGGGAATTTCTGTACTAATCGGGAAATAAAAAGGAAAACACAGATGCCCAGAGCCCTGCAGAGTCTCTTAGGAGCCAGTATCGCACCTGAGGTTACAGCTCTCGGGGAGAAAGCAAGTTTTTCTTGAGCACGTTTGCTTCCTGACAAGCGGCGTTTGTCACACACGGCGTGTCAGGCATACATGTACCAGATCTACTGCAGTTAAAGCGGCAGCAAAGAATTAGGGTTACGATCCGGTAAAAGTTATCAAAGCAGACATATGGAAACCCAGACATTAAGTTATACGGAAACATCTAGGTTTAACAAAGAAACACTAGTTTTGACTTTCAGATTTTCATTCAGATTCAACAAATAATGACTGAGAATACCACACTCAGTTCTCATTCTTCCAGGCAGCTGTGTTCTCCAAAGTCATCAGAAAGCAGATACTGAGCCATTGTTCCTACGGGAAACAGAGGGTGAGGCTCCTGTGAGCCTCTGGACACAAGTGTTTTTGTCAACTGATGGGCGTATTACCTTGTTTTATGTGTGTTTCCACTCAAAGACTCATTGAATGTATGTGGTTGAGTTATGAATGCTGAGCTCACAGCATGCCCCCATGACGCCCATCCACACCCACAACGCCCACCCACACCCTCGAGGCCCATCCACACCGACGCCCACCCACATGCGCGACGCTCACCCACGCCCTCGACGCTCACCCACACGCATGATGCCCATCCACACGCGCGACGCCCACTCACGCCCGCGACGCCCAACCATGCCCGCGACACCCACCCACGCACACGACGCCCATCCACGCCCACGACGCCCATCCACGCCCACGACGCCTGTCCACACGCACGACGCCCATCCACACGCACGACGCCCATCCACACGAGTGTTTTCTCCATCAGGCATGTTGTCACCATGTGTCCCAGCCTCACACACAATTAGCACACTTCCTTCCCATTCCTGCTTTGGCTTTGAAGCATACTGTGAAATTCTTCATGGCCCCTTCTCCACCAGGCCCTCCTTACACAGTGCTCACCTATCTAATTACAGACCTGCTTAGAAGTTCCAGGGGCCAATTTTCAAACAGAACAGGCAGAGAGACCCAGCTGCAGAATCCCCTGCTGAGTGGGAGTTAGGAACAGGTAGCCCACCGCTCCCAGACTGAAGTCACAATGACACAAACGAGGCCTCCGCACATGATGAGATAACCATCAGAAAGACACAGCCCGGCGTCCTCCTGCACTACACACAGCTCCACGCCTTTTCCTCCTTAAACCCCTCACCCAGCCAAAAAGGGGGAATGACCTGTTAAAGGCATGAGCCTGGCCATTCCCTAACTGCCAGCATTTGAGTAATAACTGCTTTCCTCTGCCCACACCTCACTCTCACGTTTTCGGCCTCTGAGTGGCAAACAGCAGACTTGAGCCAGTTACAACACTAGGAACACAGTCAGCATTCAGCACTGTGCTGGGGCCACTTAAACAACAAAACCACCAACGAAATGCACAAAAAATGTGGAAAATGTGACACTCAATAGACCCTGAAGAGGAGCCGTGTTTTACAGTATGAGCTGAGAGGAGAAGGCAGGGCTCTCCTCTCCTAGCAGAGCACGGGCGCCTCAGGCAACCTGAACCTCACGGCTCTGTGTGTGTCCAGGAATGACTTCGGCATTAGCATTGATTT